CAGGGGAAAGGCGACATCCTGCGGGCTCTGGGTCACTGCAGAGCCAGCGACGATGGAAACCTCCCCGCACACCTCCCCAGGCTGAGGACTGGGAAGCCCAACCGGCCCAGCCTGTTCCGTTCCCCAGAGAGGCAGCCACCGTCAGCGGTTTGGCAGCGCAGCCCTGGGAGCCCGCGGCCGCTCACCCAGCATGTTGGTCGGCATGCCCAGGAGGGTGTGCATCAGGTCGTGGACTTCTCGGTACCGCTGGATCACATACGCCAGCTCTTCATCGTCAACAAACTTGGCCGGCATCCGGGTGTCCGGAGAAACTTTCTGCAAATCCAAAGAGGCTCAATTCAGCCCCCTCCAAACCTCATGTTTCTAGCTTTGGTTTTTAATGCACAGCGATACATGGTGGCCTCCATCTGCACATCTCCCAGCCCCTAATGACGGGGGTCAGTGTCATTTACACAGATGAAAACCAAGGACCACACAGCACTGGTGACACATCCAGCATTGTCCAACCCCCAGCATCTCCTCCTATCCCCCCGACTCCCTCTCATTCCTGGAGGGTTCCCCACAGGTTCCTCCATGGCTCCACCTCCCTCTAAATCACCTCTGTGCTCCTGGCACAGGGACCGACTGCAGCCGCTCACGCCCCGGGAAGCCCCACACTCACGTTGTCCTCCAGGAACCGCACGTACTCTCGGCCCAGCGAGCCGTCCGGCAGCCCCCGCAGCCCGGCCATGTCCAGGGTGGAGAGACGGATGCGAGGCCGTTCCCTGAAAGCAAAGCACAGGTCAGCGAGTCTCCCAGTGCAACCCACCGCCGGGGGTCCTGGCGAAAAGGAGCCCCTGGGAACCCCCGTCCCCTGCCTCTGCCCTTCCCGGGCATTCTCCTTGCATGGAACCTGACTGCTCGCTGCAGGGATAGCATCGTCCTTATTTCTGTTGCTCAGGCTGGGATGCAAATTGCTTAAAGGATCTACCTGAAGCCTTGGCAATAAACGAGCTCTCATCTTGTGCTCCTGTAGCAACTCTGGTTGGAAAAACATCAGTGTCCTCTGCACCGAAACGCTGCCGCAGGGGTGCCAGCCAGGCACAGCCCCCCGCCACGGCCAGCCCTGGGGGAGCAGAGCACTTTAGCGTCCCTGCAAAGCAGCCAGAGCTTCAAAGGGGCAACCTGAAAAAGGGCAGGGAATTTGTTCTAAACACAGGTGTGACTTCTCTCCTACTCAGGCTTTCACCACGTGGCAGCCGTGCATGGCAAGGTCTCCTCTCCAGGTTGTTGGCAAACGGGCGTGCTGCAGCCCTGAACTAAACAAAAGCCCTTTTATCTCCATGCACAGGATAAATTCTTCCCATGATAAAAGCCCTGCAGCGGATCCAGGAGCTGCTCAGGAGGTCCCATGGAGATAAGCAGGACCTGCACCAGCTTTACTCTGGCTGCAGATGCAGGGACTTCAGCATCTTGGCAGATTAAAAAAAAGAGACTTGTGCGCGCAAATTGGACCACTGCAAATCCCCACACCACCACGGAGCAAGGAGCAGGTTGGGACATCTCTCCGCAGGTCTCAGTGCTTTTGCTGTCCCCTCTCCCTGGGCAGTGTCTCTGGGTCTCAGCCTCATCCTGGTGCTCCCTGTGTTTTGCTGGGTCAGCATCCAGAGCCAGGATCAGGCTGCTCCGCACAAACATACGGCAAAAGGCAGCTTTTCCCCAGCCCCTACGTCGTGCAACCCAAGCGATACAGGGAGAAGGCAAGCAAATAAGCAGCGAGATCTTGGTTAATAAGAGACTCAGAAAGTCCCTCCTGGTCCTCAGCCTTGCTGTGCTCAAGTCCCTGCAAGCACGGAAGCAAAAGTGATCGAGTCTTAACAAGGGAGACAAGAGAAGTGTCCTCATTTCACAGCCTGGGTGCTGGGAAAGAAAACACAGAGATGCCCAAAGACGAGGCAGAGCAGTGGAGACGTGGCAGCAGGGGAGAAATCTGGGGACGTGGTGGGTTTTCGCCCATTGCTGTTCAGGG